CACACACACACACACTCACACACTCACTCTCACTCACACACACACACACACTCACACACTCACTCTCACTCACACACACACACACACTCACACACTCACTCTCACTCACACACACACACACACTCACACACTCACTCTCACTCACACACACACACACACTCACACACTCACTCTCACTCACACACACACACACACTCACACACTCACTCTCACTCACACACACACACACACTCACACACTCACTCTCACTCACACACACACACACACTCACACACTCACTCTCACTCACACACACACACACACTCACACACTCACTCTCACTCACACACACACACACACTCACACACTCACTCTCACTCACACACACACACACACTCACACACTCACTCTCACTCACACACACACACACACTCACACACTCACTCTCACTCACACACACACACACACTCACACACTCACTCTCACTCACACACACACACACACACTCACACACACACTGGACTGGTACTTCAGATTCAGCACTGCTCAGATCTTCTGCTATTAATATACTAATATTTTGAGAGTTTGACTGTCATACAGTGAAGCTTCTGATCAATCCAGACAGACGATGTGCATTCATAAACATTCAAATTCAAACCAACTACATTAGCTCAACCTAGTGTCTCGTCCTCTGCTTATCTTACAGTTTCAAATCCTATTTGGCACACAAATGATTTCACACTAGCCATGTTCAGTGATCAGTGATGGAGTGAATCGCCTCACCGTCTCGCTCAGGGAACACGCCGTCCACGGCACTCAGGCCTTTCGCTGCTTTCTTGTTCTTCTCACTCTTTTTACTTCCACTTTTCGCTGCGAATGAGACACAAACAGCAGGATGAGTGCGTTCGGTGGCCTATGAACCCGTCACCCATAAAGTTCAGCTGTGCTCTCCACGAACGGTGCCAGGCTCCAGAGCCAATGTGCGGAGCAGAAGAGCAGCTGAAGGCTTTCGTCAGAGGTCACGCCAGGACAAACCTACATTCATATGGAAACACTCGCTTTCTCAGAGCGCTGCCAGCGTTCAGTGCCATCATCGCTGGAGCTCCTCAGACACACACACACACACACACACACGGTCATCCGTCAAACATCTCCTTCACACTCTCTGAATCCATTCCTATATGTTCAATTCAAAACCGGATCTGAATACAGTTTTGATTTGAATGATTGACTGCTGTAGAGTTAATGCTGACAGTAACTTTACTCTCTGTGCTGTTTTACATAACGAGCACGACAGTCAAATGAAAGTAAATCAGTTTTTTTCATTTAGTTTCATGATTGCGTGTCTGTTCTGATGCACTTCTTCCTCAGTGTGTTTCTTATTCCAGAGCAAATAATCAAGTTACTGCAAAATGATTTTAAGCCTTGTTTTTTCTGAAAAAAAGATCTGCCAATGAGCTAAAAAAACTCAAAGGCAAAACAAGTTTATTTTTCTGAGCCCAAAGGCAGATAGTTGTTCTTGTTTTAAGCAGAAAATCACTGAATTTTGTTTCTCAGAAAACAAGACATTATAACAGTCCTTTTGCTTCTCGAGTAAATGTATCTTGATTTAATGTTTGGATGTTCGTTCAGGAAAACAGGACAAAAAACAAGAGCATCATTTTTGCTGTGTGTGTCACCGTCAGCAGGGAAAATAATGTTAAATGCAAATAATAAAATTCATTTAACATTATAATTGGAGGTAGTTAGAAAAGCAGAATAAATAGACTAAAACCATCTTTTGCTGATGATGACCAGATTGATGTTCAGTGTAGAGACTGATCTGGAAGAACAGCACATCTGGAGTCAGAAACACATGATGGAGAACATCATCCTGACAGACTGGACAAACTGGAGATCTGAAACACGCTGAACGTCTTCTGGACGTGACCTCTGACCTTCCTCCAGCGGCCCAGCACCACTTCATCAGCTCTATGAATGTTTCATCGCATGATTTGATGGAAGCAACCATGTTTGACGGCTCAGAATCAGTTACACAGCCCATCACATCAGATCTTCAGTCTTTTATATGCACAGATGACAAAATGCACCTGAAGCAGGATGATGAGTTTCAGTCAAGCTGTTACATGTGTTTGCGTGCGAGTGTGTGTGTGTGTGTGTGTGTGAGTGAGTGTGTGTGTGTGTGTGTGTGTGTGTGTGTGTGTGTGTGAGGTTACCTGACGCTGAATCAGATCCGCCGGCTGATCTGGGTTTGGTCTCCTTCCCGACGGCTCGGTCCTCCAGGACTCGCTGGTAATGTTCCCGACTCAAGAGCTCCTGCATGTAGTAATCCTCATCCTCAGATGAATGTCCAGAACACTCGTCCAGCAGGCGTCCCACGAGGCCGAGCAGCAGGAGAGTCCGGAGCCACATCATCTGATCCTGGACCCATTCACTCACTGCGCTCCGCTCCGGGAAAAACTCTGCTGTCTGGAATCACTCCGGAGAGACAGAGAGAGAGAGAGAGAGAGAGAGAGAGAGA